CCTCATTTAAAATCAACCAATCATGTCCGATTAGAAAATATAGGTCAAAGGCACTCTCTAGGCTGGAATTAGGTCTAGACCGGTGGGAGGGGAGGGGCGGTGACAGATCGGCGGCTTTCTCTTACGCACGCCGCGAGACGGAGCCCCGTGACGTGAGATTATGACTCGTATATTATGTGGAAGCCAGTTTTCCTTTTTGCATGTTTGCGAATTTGTTGAGCTACGAATATTGATTTCCCTGATGTCAATCGTTAAATGAAATAAAGAAATGAACAGCACTTTCTTTTTCCCTATTGTTTAATTATTATTTATTTATACAATTTTGTGCAATAACAGTTGTTGGTTTATGTTTTGCGCAATGTCGGAAATATTTGTGTACACAGAAAGCAACGGTAATGGTTGATTTATAATACAACTATTATTCAATTCGTTTAGTGGAATTTAACTGCGATATTAAACAACATTGCTAAGAAACAAAAAACAAAAGAGTATTTTTCTGTGCAATGATGTGGATCTGAGGCGTATATACGTCGGAAATTGTTTCAGTATTTCAGTATTGTTAGCTAGAAATATACTTGTTTGGCTAGATGTTTCGATCGTGGATCTACACGACCTTCCATTTCGCAAGCCGCCGGCAGCGCCTGCGATCAGCTGACGATCCGCTTTCTCCAGCGGCCAATGTCCGCGGCTCGTTGCCATTCGCGGTGCGTGCGCGCGCGCTGTGTGTGGACGTTTGTTTTGGCGAGCGACGCTGGCCGGGTTTGCGAGCGCGAAAGATAAGGATGCGGTTGATATCGACTTATCATAGGTTTCGTTTTGATAACGATATCAGACCGTATCCGTTTTTTTTTAAAAAGGTAGTCTACGTTGATATGTGAGAAAATCTTTGCTAATTTACTTTTTTCTTTCATAAAAAAAATGCTGAGAAGAAAACTGTAATTATCACTCATGGTTATAAATTTAAAATATCAAAATGAATACAAGTTGTTATGGATGCATGAACTTAGCACAAAAAATGATGTCTATATTAGCAAATGTTAACATCGATTGCTCCCTTCGATTGTGTTAACTCATTTTTTGTTAGCTTTATATTTAAACATATTTCGATACTTTTTCCTTGACTCAAAAAATGGTGTTATTCACTAATTAGCATTAGAGGAGTCACCGGCCATTACATAAACGACTGCTTAGCTATGAGCCGTGATTCAGCCGGGTGTGGTAACTTAGCATCGGCAGCAGCGTCCTTGCTGTCTGGGAAACACCGAGGTTGGTTTGCATGACCCAAAATAGATTATTAATTAATTTGTTTTGGAGGGTTCTAGATTACTACCTATTTTTATAATAAATATGAATAGGATATTGAATATTTCCCTACCGCTCAGTAACACACACGCTTGATTTTTTCTAGAATATACTTAGTGAATGGACGTCACGTTATTGAATATTATTGAATTTCTGATAAAATATGTAATAAATAATAAATCTACTCTGACTAATAAGCGCTGCTAAGCAGAATAATGCGTTTATTTTCTCTCTTTCTATTCTAATGATATAAAATTGGACAAAGAAAACAAAGCAATGTGATTTTAAAACTACCGAAGAACGATTATTAGTACGGGCACTTTATCAAAGTTTCATGTCTTAAAGGAAAACTCTCTCTTTACCTATTCTTATGATAAATACTGCACAAAAGAAAACAAAACACTGTGTAGTTTTATAACTACTGACCAATGTTTATCAATAAGGGTCGTCGTCGTCGTCGTTTCAGCCAAATGACGTCCACTGCTGGACAAAGGCCTCCCCCAAGGTTTTCCACAATGAACAAGGGTAACGAATCAATAAGGGTACGCGATCAAAAATTCATGAATCGCAAATCTAAAATAGAGAAATCTCCGCTATGCACTTGACATTGGCTGGCATGGTCATTGCCGCGCGCATCTCCGCAGTGAAAGTTGCGCGCCCCCCCTCCCCCCTCCCTCGTATATGTGTCACTTAGACCTTTGCCGTTCTAGATCTGACGCTACTTTCATTTTATTTTTGATTCGCTATTCTCTTTGGTTGTTAGTTACGGTAATGGCGATCGTTTCATTTAGGTTACATTAACTTGTGTACTAGATGCTTTTTGTGAATTGTTTTGTCCAATCTTTGGTGAACGGTACATTTTACGATTAAAGTAAGTAAAGCGAGCTTTTTCTCAATTTGCAAAGTAATTTCACACGATATACTTAACTACCTAATTTCTTTGTAAATCGAAATTAAGGATGGTGTTACTTATTCAATCTCAAACACTGTTAGCGAACCCGTGGTAGGTTTAAGTTATAGGTAGGTACTAAGTCTTTTTGCAGAACTTTCACATAAATAATAAATCAATGAAAATTAAGATAATTTCATAATGCTTCTATCTACAAAACGCCTGAGTCTGTGGAGTTACTGTGGAAATTTCTAAACAATATTCTAGTTTGTCGGTTAACGTTTAACTGAAGCCTATGTTCATTCAGTTTAGCAGTGTATGACTAGGGACTGAAAATAGCATCGAGTGATAGATGCGTTTTAAATAATATTGAGTACTTAAGTACATGCTTTGGAGTTGTAATATGTATGCCTGTTCAATAGGACTAAGAAAAATAAAAGAATAAATGGAATTAATATTTGTTACTTCAGATTTTAAAATATTTGTTTAAAAATCCAGATTTTAAAAGTTACAAGTTTTTATTATTCTTAGTTATGCACGGCGCTCTTGATAAATTACTTAATGTGTCACGTGTCATGTTCATGCGAAAAGTAAAAATATAATCGAAGTTATGTAATATGATAGATTGACAACTAAATAAAGAAGGCAACATTCAGCTGAAAATCATAACAAATTAATATGCTAGGGAATTAAATGATGGCTATGTAAACTTAACGTAATTAGAAGCAAGAAAACACTGCTTTTAAAAACTTCACGTGAAATAGTTAAAGGTGCAAAACATGGCATAATTAAAGTTTTCACTTTGCATCCAATGAAGATGTTTCCATTTTATTTTCATCCTTCACGCTTTTATTTTAATTAAGGTGTTAACTGACAATTTCAATATATTTATACACTTTATTTTTGTACTGTAAGAGCCGTGATGTTTTCTTAAGTTGTCTTTAATTAGCAAAAGCTTGCAGATACAGTAGAACGCCGATTATCCGAATTAATTGGGACCGGGGTCGATTCGGATAATCGAAAATTCGGATAATCGGACATAGACTGGTAATAGAGAAAAACGAACTGTCACACATAGAATAAACTTTAATAAGTTTAAAAAACAGACATATTTCTACTGAGCGTTATTGTAGAACTGCTACAATAACGCTCAGTTGTAATATATCTCAGTTCCAAAAAAACAAATCAAAAATTACTTGGTTTTATTTTTTTATATTACGCTTAGGACCGATTCGGATAATTGGCGATTCGGTTAATCGGCGTTCGGATAATCGGCGTTCTACTGTAATCTAAATTAAAATATCCAGCTTGACAATACTAGTATAAATTCGTATTGCAAGCCTTAATGCTGTTGACCTCATTACCGGGCCGGATAATCAGTACCGGCCACTCGAGCGGGGTGCTTGTGGTGCTTGTCAGGGATATTGTAATGGACTCGAGCTGTCTTTGTCCGCCTTTATCGGTCTAGGTTTATAGGTCACGCTCATTTGTGTATAATAGTTTCATTATGTTCCGCCATTATAGTTTAAAGCAACATCTGTATGTTTCACAGAAGCCCGCTATCTGATTGCATATCAGATAGCCATTGTATAATGCGACACGATTATTTTTTAGCGCGAAGTATATTTTTGATATCATAGTGTTTATCAATAAAGTAGGTGTTTAATTATGTTTGATTGTAGACATCGATACATACAAAACGATCCTATGCATTTAAAATGTAAGTTAATAAATTACAACACTAGTTAAAGCTGTTTGAAGTTTTCCGAGCTTAGTATTTTGAAGTAAAGGATCGTTATAAAAGCTACGTTTATTATCGGGTAATTATCGTCAAGGAAAACATTTGAATAAATCATTGAATATTGGGCACTTTACAGTGTCATGTGGATGTGTGTCACTAATCTGCAACCTTCCACCAAATAACAGTATTTTAACCAATACATCACAAAGGTCGATGATGCATAGGTTTTAAACTTATTTGTCGTTCGACTTTGACCTCTAATCCGTTACGATAAGCATGTTCACAAAGACAGAATGATTCATAAGGCTGGATCGCGTTGGGCAACGGTGGGTGGAGTGCGGAACCATTGACGAGAGTGCTCAGGGTCTACTCCAGCAACTGATTTAGATACAACAGTGATATCTGTCTCTTTCATATAAATCAGCGTCGCAGGCTGAGTGAGAGAGATAAAGTCAAATGGGAATAGTTTTGCAATGTAGAATTGTAGATCTTTTGGTTGTAGGTTGTAAATTGTGCGCTAGGTTTCAGGTTAAGGTGCCGGCATAGATTGCGTTCTAAGGTCTATTTTATTTACAACACGATCTGGGACCGAGCACGTGGGCACCGATTGTACTTGACAAACTAAGTTATGTTAGACAAGATATTTAAGGCAATTATTCAAGTTCAAATTAAGATTTCATGTTGATATTGTACAGCATGCAATACAATTAAAGGTAATGTAATCATTAATAAACTGAACTTGTAGTTATCAGGCAGTTTGTATCTTGATCTTTATCTCAATCAATTTGAGATAAAGACAGGTCACGTTGTGACATTTATACAATACTAAAAAGCCTAATTTTATTATGATTACAAAACCAAATAAAATTAAGTTTCACACAATGTAATTATAATATGTTAAAATCCAAATGTAACATAATTTAGACCATACAAAGTGTAAATAAAATTTATATGCGCCAACACTATGAAATAAAACAAGCAACAATCAAATCAATATTGGCTTTTGCAAAAAAATTGTTGCGAAAAGAATATCTTGCAAAATCCGTCGTAAACTTTACAAATACTTACCGAGCAATTCTGTAGCAAGAAATAGAGCGGTGTTCGTGTATTGTCAAATCCGAAACATTATTATAATGGTCCACTTGCAACCGTCCGATTGTCAAACTGGAGAACTATTTCGGCAACTGTCAAACACTGGGATGCCTTCAACAGCGCACAAAGAGAGCCGGGGTCGGATAGCAAGAGAGACGGGATCGGGACTAGAAACAAGAAGAAGTACTCTGAGCACGCAGGCGATAGAAGGGAAACTAATTCTGTTAGTCTACTCACCTCTAGAGGTAACTTTGGACGCCGGTAATCATGAATTGCGCGTAATTAGGTGTCATTATTAATTGCAATTGGCAAGTGGTAAATTAGTTTTTGTAAAATGCATTGCATTTACTAATTATGGTATGCTATAAACCTATCACTTACGAATAATTAATTCAATATGACATCTTTATAATTTCTGCAATATTTTATTCATGACTTTACATTTTATGGTACAACTTAGATATACTTTGATAAAAAGTCGCATAAATATTTAGCTGATAAGTAGTTATAATGTTAATGATAAGCTTTTTTATTAGTTAAAAACATACAAATAACGTTCTAAATTGTTATTAATATCGTCTTTAATTATTGGAATTCAATGAATTAGTCCTTATGAGATAATGAAATTTCAAGAAACGTGTAAAACAAAGAAATAGCCATTAATTCGTGTCGTCGCGGTAAGTGGGCGCCGTTAAAACTGTAAAAAAACCAGTTGGACGACCTTCTAGTTATCAGCCAAAAACTGACTCGCGCGCATACTGATATACACGGGAAGACCCAGTTTTCCGATTAAGTTTACAATAAACATATCGGTAATTCTAGATACCGGTACTCGGCATTGTTTATTTAGAGATTCTACTCAGAGAACATGCAGTTAGTAAATAAAGTATTGGTTATTAGTAAAAATTAAGAAAAGAAAAAGGAAAAGATGTGATTGGCATAAATAAAGTATCTTAAAAATATTCGTTCGAATATTTACAAAGAGGGTAGAAAGACTTGAGAAAATATAAAAATAGAAAAAAATAAAAAAACTGGCTTCCGTAGTGCTTCCACTGCGTCCACAAAACACTGTCACGTCACTTATAAATGCCAATTACAAACATTTCCCATAAACACCGCGTGTGCTCCGTATTTCTTTGATTTTGAAATGGAACAACGTTGTGTTTTGATTTTTGAATTTGGAACGTACACTGAATTTTCGAGCGTCACTGTGATCTCAACAGTCCGATGTATGTAATGTTAGGGCGGTCACACACTGCACTCCCGAGGCGGGCGGTTGCCGCGCGGTTCGTCGACTGACTGCGCCGCTTGCGCACCCCACTTACTTCCCACCAAAAATTTTCTACCACCACTGTGCGGCAGGGCGGGCGCAGCGCGGGCCGCAGCGGGCGCGCGCGTGACGTCACCGTAGCCTACATGCGCCGAGCTACGCGCTCGGTGGAAATACGAGTTGCGTTTATTCGTAGCCTTGCGATTTTGTTAGTTTAGTTACGATTTATTTATACAATAATATTGATGGTCGTGGTCATAAAATTGTATTCTGCTAAATTTTTGTGCATTATTTTACAACGATATAACATGCGGATGAATTGATTTTTCAGATTATTGCAAATTGGGTAAAGAAACAATTATATTATATTAATTAAATAGGTGTTCGAGGGTTTCATAATATGTGTGAAAATATTCGAGATAATTCACGTCATTTTAAGATTTTCATAGGTTCTTAAATTGATCGTAAAAGTAAATAATTTTATCGTTGTTTTTATCCCTACTATTACATAATAATAATGTACTACAAATTAACAAACCTTTAAACAACACACTTAAATCGTCCAAGTAAACATAAAATTGAATGCGGCGCATTTCTCCTCGAGTTGGTCGCCCCTGCCGGCTGCTATCTCCGGTCTGCGTGCACGCACACAGAGGCGCGCCTCGCCCACATAGAGCGCGGCAGGCCTACAGACCTACAAACGACTTTCACGCAAACTAACACCTACCTCTTTCACTTAAGCACCATTTCACCTTGCACTCCCACCGTTCGGTATTTGCCTGTTCACGGTAAGTAGGTCAACCAATGATTTTCTTTACAGTCCCTACTGTGGTCCTCGTTTAGGTTATAGCCGATAATGTTAAGGTCATTGAAGGCAGTTAGATTCATTGAGTTTAGGAGTTATGCAGCTGCCATGAAAGATGTGAATGACTAACATTGAAGTACCGGTTTAAGGTTTTTAGGTCCAATTCGACGGACGGTATTCAAATACAGCGTCGGTTTGCGGTCGCCCTAATTATTGTAATAACTTGCTAGCAAGTTCATTCTTACTGAAACCGCTACATGAAAGTCTGATATGAAATAAATAAACACGTTTACAAGCAAGTAGAATTAAAATAATGAAATATTTATCGGACCACTCCAAAGTTTCCATTCATGTGTTTTTTATATCTTCTTAATTTATTTGAAGATTTAAATCATAAGATAATTAATTTTAGTTTTCTGACAGCACATAATCTTCTACACTGTATCATCTTAAGTTTTTGCTAAAAAGAATTAATAACCGACCTTGTTAATTAAATACTGGCACAGCAATAAAATACAGCAAAGTAAATAATGAATGCGTAAATAGTAAATTATAAGTGGAAAAAATACAGTTTGTCAGCAATAGCTCATTTTATCACCGTTAGACAAATTAATGCTAACAAGATCTAAAGCAAACTGCTAATAGGTAAGCTAACAGTTCTATGAAGTGTCGAAAAAATATATTCAAAATACATTTATTTAAGAGTTTTTAACTTTATTTCGTTATTTTTTAAACGTTTTAGTTTTATAATGTTTTATTTATATACAGTGTGAGTCACGTTAAAGTGTACATATGAAAATAGATAAAACTAGACCTATTTTTATCGATAAAAAAGTGGTCAAAAATGTTGTGATAGGGATAGAGACATGCAATTTTTGGTTTTACAAAGGTAATACGATAGAGAATAATACACAACAATAAAAACCACCTGTTATAGGGGCATTTTTTGGAGAAATTTATCAAATAACCAAAAAAACACGAATTTTTAAGCAGATTTTTTTCAAAAAGTATCATTTTTTATAACTTGTTGGCATTTTTTGTGTATTGTATGTATTTTTTTAGTATCGCCTGTTATTTAGTATTATTACAGTTTTTATTTTATCAGGATATACCGCTTAGTTTAAAAGTTATTACGTTTTCTTTACAATAAGTAATTGGAAGAAAAAAAATTCTATAAAAAATTAAAAAAAAATCTCAAAAATTTTTTGACCTCTTTTTTGTCGATAAAAATAGGTCTAGTTTCATCTTTTTTCATATGTACACTTTAACGTGACTCACACTGTATGTATTTTATTAAAAGCATCTTAGGCTGAGTTGCACCACCCAACTTTGACCGTAACTATAACGATAACCGGTGCTTGTTGTATGAAGTTTGACAGATTTTTGACGTTTATCAAAGTTTAAAGTAAGATGGTGCAACCCAGTCTTAGTAAACGACAGGTGACGTAAAATTCTCAAAATCGGAACTTATTTAATCAAAAATTATTATTTAAGAAAAACAAAAATGTTATTGTCTTCCTTTTTTCACCTACTTTCAGAAAATAATATGGAGGTCATGTATTTATTTACAAATAAATAAATTCCTTGGCATGAAAATAACCACGCAAAAGAGAGCATCGCTGAATACTAGCAGACGGAATCGTGTTATGATAATTGTCTGCTTAATTAGGAAGACGCGAATTGTGCAAACACCATTGTTTCTGTAACTGTGCCTGCGACCCGATTGATCTCGTGACATGTTCCCAAATTTAGGACTTAGCCGGATAACTTGACAGTCACATATTTATTTATTATTTTGTTTCTAGCGACATTTTCTGTTTGGAGACTGACGGATAAACATTGACGCCCGTATTCACAAACATTACTATGAGGTCTCACAGTGCGCGTGGCTCACAGGGCCACACACAAACCAATCACAGAACACTATTTAACGCCGTGCGTTCGATTTGCTGCTTCATTTATACAAGCATCGTTTGTGAATACGGGTGTGAATGTAGTTAAAATTAACAATTAATGTATCGTTTATTTTTCTATCAGCTACCGGACATTCTCTCTCTGGTTGGTTTTCATTAGAGGCTAACCCTTGCTTTACAGGGAGTTGCAATGGTAAGTATGAGGCACGGGATTATTAGTTTTCATGTATCTTTGCTAGAAAGACATTTTCAGCGTTAATTCCTTGTAATTGTAGTTTTAGCGTTTTTATTATATTGTATATTTAAGTAAATAAATATCATAATATTGTGGAATGTAAGTTAATATATCTCGCACTTGACCGGTGTTTTTCCATTCAAGTGTAACATCTAGAAAAGTTGCCTCACCGGTTACAGTAATGTGAAGTAGTAAAATATAATTGATTCAATTCAAATGTTCATGAAATAATAGTAACTTTGATGAAAAAAATATACCAGTATGTTTTCTAGGACTATTCATGAGTAAAATGACAAATCATTAATTGCGAAACTTTTTTACTGCAGATTATTTTATGTAGTTAAAACATTCATTAATCGTAATTGATACTTACCGACTAAGGACTACGAAAACCGAAGATGTAAATTAATGAACTATCATTAATAATTGCACAAAACTTAAGTAATGAGTATCAGAACTATTTTTAATCGGAAAAGAAGATAAATGGGTAGTTACATAACAATTTAATTGTGTTTTTCAATCTTTTAACTCGGTGAACTAGTTCGTTAAATGAAAAACTCACTATTTAAAAGGTTATTTTACACGTTATATAAATAGACTGTCATGGGGCCTGTCTGATAACTATAATGTTAAAGTGTATTTATGGAAAGTGAAAAATACGTTTACCTTGCAAAAACTACTGGATCGAATGTTACATCAGAACTAATAATCTACTTTTTACCAGCTGAAATTGCGGACAAAAACTAATTACAAATAAATAAATCATAAAAATGAATATATATTTGCCAAAACGCATAAATTTTCGCAGTGACATAATATTAATTTTTTATTAATAAAAAATTGCAGATAATTATTGTCGTGTTTAATATTCAATTAGAAGGCATTTCTTACTATTGACAATAATTTAACAAATAGTCCTAAGTCTAACTCCACAGCAAGAAATAGTAAATTTATCGATCTAAGATTACACATTACTTTTTCAAGTCGCACAAAGGCAGTAAAAACGACTCGTTTACCACTAACAATCTCGTACAAAAAGCAATCATCAAATCAAATTAAAATAGCAATATGACAATGCGAATTATCGGCTGGTATATCTCGATAATTACTGTACCGTTGTATGGGAATGCTGTATGGCCATACATCAATGCATTGTGGTAGCCATCATTACTAAGATGGATGGATCGCGAATCGCTCGCCTGTAACAGCGGTTAGAGGTGTGGTGTTAGTAGCGATTCTAGTTTTCGTCTGTTAGCAAAAGCACGACTACATAATTAGTTTCAACTAATTATGAATGAGCCCGTGTAATTAATTGCCGTTATATCTCGAATTTAGGTATTTTTTGTTAGAAACTCAACACAGATAAATGATGATAAATAAGATGCTTTAGGGTGGATTCGACCAAACAAGAGTAAATAAATATTAATCTAAGAATAAATCGTCAGTTATTCGACATTTTGACATATTATTATTTTCCATACTGAAACTGTCAGTGTGCCAGTTATACCAGGAGTTTTACTCGGATAAAAGTTTGGTCGAATCGGGCCTTGATAGTAATAAGACCGAACAAGAAATCTATGGATATTTTGGAATATGCTCTTAAATCATAAGAAAAAACTAAGGCTGAGTTGCACCAATTTACTTTGATCGTAACTTTAACAAAAAACGGTGTTTTTTGTATGGAGTTTGACAGATTTTTGACGTTTGTTAAAGTCAAAATAAGATGGTGCAACTCAGCCTAAGATAAGTAGGTACTTTTTATGACATGAATATGAATTCAAGGCGACAATTTGAAACATTGGCAAATAAAAGTAGGTTAAATATCCATATTTGATATAAATGAAATAAATTAATTGTTTAATCTATCTTAAATCGCCGCTGCCCGCTGCCGCCCGCCACCATGGCACGCCGCCTCTCTCCGCGTTGAATTCGGTTTTAGCTAACGACGCGACACACTGACATCCTTACATATATCCGTCTCCCTCGGGTCGTCTCTCTCACGCTCCGCCTTGTTAGTCTGTTTGGGGTACCATAAATAATAAGTACCTGATATAGAACAGTTATGGAGGAATCGTTTTTAAGAACGAAGAAAGTTCCCAACATGGTGTCATAAAGCTTTGCGTTTAGGAATTAAGGTACAAAAAGAGGTTAAACTGCCTTTGCACTCTGCAATTACTGATGATTTTACTAATATCTCACTACATATAACGGGATTTGACAACATAAAAACACTTTTAAGAAGGTTTTTGTCAACATACATAAAAACTAATGTCGAAAAATATTGCAGTACATAACTACATACTTCAAATAAAAGTTTTACCTGCAGTTGTAATTGTTCAAAACAAATGACATTCATTCAGTTTTTGCATATGACAGCATTAAGAGAAAGTACCCAGCTCTTCCAGTTTGTGCACCATGTACGGATGACCGCACCTTATGCTAAACACTGTTATCTTATGTCGTTGTAATAGATACTAATTTGCAGTACAAACTACATTTCTAATATGCTGTCGACTGTACTACATCATATCAATATTTCGCATGATGACACGGTAGTTTTGACTAATAACCAATGCCCCGAATCCCATTTTTTGACCCTATTCCTCGATGACGCCGAGTTGTGCAACCGCGATGACGCCGTCAGAACGTGTCATACGATCCCGTTAGCTCGAGGCCGAAATATTCGCGAGATGGATTCTGTTATGTCTAAGAAGAGTAGGTATTTTCATTTCGTGAAGCAATCATACGCCGGTTGTGAAAGTATTTGTATTAACTTACTGCGTACTACCATAAAATTAGTAATATAATAGTACTTCGCTACTTAAATAAATAAATAATAAATAAGATTTAGATAAATAAATAATGACATGATTAAAAACAAAACAAATAATCTTAGGCATTCTACACACACTACGCCATTTAGTTCCAAACTTGTCTTTTTGTAACCCTAAAACAAACGATTTAGGCTGAGTTGCACGATCTTACTTTAACTTTAACAAACGTCAAAAATCTGTTAAGTTTCATACAAAAATCATCGGTTATTGTTATAATTACGGTTAAAGTTGGTGCAACTCAGCCTTAATGGAACGGAAAACATCAAATTATAATTTTGCAATAGCTGCATAAGTCATAGTATTAATAAACACTACTGTAACTATGTTTATTTATTATTTAGAGAAGCGATAGGATCGTAGCTCACTCGCTGCTACGAGATTCTTATCTCTCAAACGTTTATCATACTCGTATTTAAGACTTCAACGCGTTAGTACGCGGCTTCAAAGTCGAGAACGACTTTGCTTGCTTATGTTCGTTTATGTTTGCTAGCTTTCTATCTATCCTTAAACACTGATTGGTGTATACCTACGTATAGGTAGTATAAGTAATACATAATTTGAATTAAATACACTACCAATTTTTCTTCACCTCCCTTGATTTATTCTACGCTAGTTTATTAAATTGGGTTGGATATTGTTGTATGTATTTCTGAATCGTTGGTAATTTCATTCTTACGTTACAATCAAATCAAATATTTTATTCTGTACATATAGGCCCTTTACGGGGCACTTATACACGTCCCAAATATAGCTTCCACCAGTTCGGGACGACTTATGGCTACATACGGCACAGCCTTACTCGCAGCCGAGTTTATAGAGGTCGGTCTATATGAAGTGGTGAATAAGTTATGACCTAGGACCAAACAATTAGAGCAGAGTTGTAATGTTTCGAAGTTTTTCAGGTCAGAGTGTTTCAGTTCAAATACCTAACAAAACAACAGTAAGGTCATTGTTTCATCAAGCACTAAATTAAATTAAGAAATACAAACACGTATCGCGTGCGCGGGCGCATCCCCTTACGTAACGTGTTATCGCCCGCAATTAGCTAATGGCTTCCTGCGGTCTGCCCTCGATTATTAGTTATTACTCGCGATAATTGTTGACTGGTGTAAATAACTATGACTTTGAAAGGATTCTTCATTAGTTCCTGTGAAGAACTGCTGTAACGTAGTTTTATATAGCTGAAAAATTTTCCTCTTGATCAGAGGCATCAGTGTTTTTCAACCTTTTTCATGACACGACCCCCTACCTATGAAAAAATATTTGGCGACTCCCGACCATTCGCTTTTTTTTTCATGCATTTTATAATGTTACAAAGATGTTGTAGGAACCGAATACTTCAATCCATACAACATTTATGAATTTGCATAATTACATTTCGTATAAATCCATCTTTATAACTTTATTGTTTTTTTACTGAGGTAGTTTTTACGACCATTCGTGACCCCCTTATAGAGGCTTCGCGACCCCCCAGGGGGTCCTGTCCCACAGGTTGAAAAACACTTGCATAGATCGTAAATTCCTATAAAATACGTTTTCCATGGTGTTTTGATTCGTGCGATCATTTGATAGGGCAACCTAAAAACGCACCGGTTTGTTACATTTTTTTCTAACAAATACTTACGTAATTACTCAACCAAGGAAACACAAATCACAGATCGCGAGTCAAAGACTTGGAGATCTGTCTGTTAAGATGCCGATACTGAGCAGCATCTTCAGAGGACTGCAGAACCAAGTTTCGTCTCTCTTCCATAAGTTTATTGGTGAGGTCAGAGATCTTTTTGGTTCCTTTTGGACGACGGGTTTTAAAGAACTTAGACCCAGTCGTTTGGACAATTTCCACGAACCTGTCATTGTATTCGTCCACATTTTCGCAGTCTCCTAGGCATTCGAAACGATTTTGCAACTCGAGCTGAAAGCTTTCGGGGTTTTGGAGTTGGATGGGCGCTGGGCGGAGCGTAGACTTCATCAGTCGACGCCTCTCGAGCTTGGGTCTGATATTCAATGTGCCTCTTACCATTCGGTGATCGCTTCCTGTTTTGACCGAGTTGATCACAGAGACATCATTGAATATATGCTTCTTCGTCGACAAGATGAAGTCGATCTCATTTTTTATAGCGCCATTGGGATGCAGCCATGTCCACTTTCGCTGTTTTGGCTTCCTGAAGAAGGAGTTCATCATAAAGAGGCCCTCCCTCTCCATAAAGCCAGCCAGCAGTTGGCCACGTGCGTTCCTCTCTCCATACCCAAATTGCCCCACTTTCAGCTCATTATCGCTTCGTCTACCCAGCTTCGCGTTGAAGTCCCCCATCACAACGGTAAAATGGGACCGGGAGCTATGTATGGCTCTGGAAATATCCTCATACATAGTCTCCACTTCGTCGTCGGGGTGTTCCGTGGTCGGTGCGTATACCTGTATGACCTTCAGCGAATACCGTTTGGTGATTCTGAGTATAAGGTACGCTACCCTCGCCGAAACACTCTCGATCTGGACCACGTTGTTGACAAGGGACTTGTGGACGATAAACCCGACACCACCCTGGGACTGCTGGTCGCCCTCCCGGAAATAGAGCAGGTTTCCGGATTTCAGGATTATGGTGTCCTCCCCCTCTCTTCGGACTTCGCATAATCCTACGATATCCCACCGCAACCTGCTCAGTTCTTCCTCGAGTTCGGCGAGCCTCACGTCAGTCCGCAGCGTGCGAGTGTTAAATGTTGCCAGGGCCAGAGGTCGTCGGGGTTGGTAGCCTGTCGGTACCCGGTGATTCTTAGCACCCCTCGCCCCACCGTTACCGTGACCGCTACCGTGGCCCGGGATAGTGGGGCCGCCGGGGACTAGGGGCCGTGTTTTTTTGTTCCTCTCCATGGGGGGGATTTGCCTTAATCGCCACGCTTGGCAGGCGGGTTGGCGATCGCAGTTTTTTATAAGGTTTCGCACGCAGACGCTGCTGCCCGTCCGGTGCTGCAGGGATTTTGTCGCCTCTTACGACACGCCTCCTGTTGGCGGTGGGGAAGAGTATTCTTTATGTTAAGTAGAAGAATATAATTCTCCATATTTTTCAGTATTTCCTTTTTTAAATAACTGTTGATATCCTATGTGTTGCCTCGAAGAAAACCCGGTTTTAATTGTACCATGCCAATGTTTTTACTGTTTTGTGTTGTATGTTATTTCGCGGCTGTAAAATCGGCGTGTTTGTCGGTAGAGTTTATTTTAAAGTATTTTGCGGATATACAACTTAACTGTTCTTATCGCCCAACGCAGAGGAGGTATACTGTATACAGCACATTTCACTTCCCTCAAAGGCGCCGCCGCAACCCAAACTAAGTGTTAGATATATATGTTTTATTGTGTATTGATAGTAAACAGGACACAATTAACTGTACTCGGACAATGCCATAAACCACCGCAACCAACTGCAACCAGGTATTCGTTTATTACGTTGTTATAAATGTGAAAGAATCCGACAAATAGCAGAAATAATAGCGCGTGGTAAAAGCAAAAGCAAGTTAAGGTTGACTCAAGTTTTACGTGGCAATGGCAGATTTTTTTTATTTCAAAATCTTACCGCATGAAATGTTTACATAATTAAAAATGAAATTAAATTATTTTAACATGTTATGTGATACAAACGACTCCATGTGCGAAATATTTCTTTAATATTTTTAAGTATATTTTTTTCGTAGCCATTTTATCATTTTAGTTAAAAGTAAGGAGTTATCTATAAAAAAAAAATTTGCTTTAAAAAACAGAAAAGAGCAAAAACTCAATTCTCATAATCTCAACATAGCCCGTGAACTTGTTCGGTTTTTCGCCGTTGCTTTTACCATTCCGCTTGTTAGCAGCCGCGGTGCGCGCCCGAAGCACCTATTACATAGTAACAATACCCTTTTATTACACAGTGCATCTCATCTTTATAGTCCAGTCAAATTAGACATGAACCCTGCAATAATTCGCATACAGCTGAAAATTGGTACGAATGTTCGGAGCACCATTATGAATTAACTGTGAAAAGTCCCCATCGATCCGACATGTGCTAAAAAAAAAATTCTATGTCAAAGTTAAAAAATACGGGTTTTTGAGAGTTTCAGCCAAACGGTAAGTTTTATCACAAAAATATGTATGACAAGGTTTAAGGCCATACAATTATCTATCAAAATTGTCTATACACTTTCTCCTAATAATCAGCGTTTCTGAGATTCGATGATCCGAAGAGTCAAAAAGTGTTTTCTTCATAACGGTCTTACACATAAATTCAATGTGATATCGCCTCGTGGCTCGACTCAGCATTGTATCATGATGTGTTGTCGACGTCGAATATAAAATGATCAACCTCAATGTCGTCTGTCATCTTTAATTATCGAAAAATGGGTGCAACTTTGACGAAGGACTGCACCGTGAGTTTCTAAGATACGAAGTTTTCGTGTCTATTAGGTTTAAGAGCTCTTATATGCACACGTCACTACTCTACTTGTAACTCTATGGTCACTCTTTTAGCCCGGTCAAGTCAGAAAATCCAGGTTATAATAATTCGCATAGAGCTGAAAATTTGTGTGAATGTTGAGAACACCATCCTTAATGAAATGTCAAAAGTCCCCAACGATCCGTCATTTGAAAAAAAAATTTACGAAGTCCAAGTTTTTTGCATTTTTCCACCAAACAGTAAACTTATCATAAGAAATGATAAAAAATAGTAGTAGATCATAAAATTATCTATTAAAAGTGTCTTTGCCCCTTTTTCCTAAGAGTCACCGTTTATGTGGTAACGATGCAAAAAGTTGGAGAATTCGCATTCTGTTAACTACTCCACGAGTCCACAACTTCAACTCTATTAAAATAGTTTTGAATTGAACAGGATAACAAATACATCTTAAAAAAGGCCTACTGGGGAAACCTGGTAAAAAAAATGCGCCAAATACCCATCATAGGTGTTGTGGAAACATGTGCATATAACGAGAACATCTTAACTAACTTTTTGATTCGTTCTACCTCATAATCGGTGACTCTTAGGAAAAAGGGGCAAAGATAATTTTGATAGATAATTTTATGATCTACTATTATTTTTTATCTATTTTTATGATTAGTTTACTACTTGGCCAAAAAATGCAAAAAACTTGGGACTTCGAAAACTTTTTTTTTAAATGACGGATCGTCGGGGACTTTTGACATTTCATTTAGAATGGTGTTCTCAACATTCACACAAATTTTCAGCTCTATGCGAATTATTATAACCTGGACTGTCTAACTTGGTCGGGCTAAAAGAGTGACCATAGAGTTAGAAGTAGAGTAGTGACGTGTGCATATAAGAGCTCTTAAACATAATAAACACGAAAACTTCGTATCTTAGAAACTCACGGTGCAATCCTTCGTCAAAGTTGCAACCATTTTTCGATAATTAAAGATGACAGACGACATTAAGGTTGATTATTTTATATTCGACGTCGACAACACATCATGATACAATGCTGAGTCGAGGCACGAGGCGATATCACATTGGATTTATGTGTAAGACCGTTATGAAGAAAACACTTTTTTGACTCTTCTGATCATCAAATCTCAGAAACGCTGACTCTTAGGAGAAAGTGTATAGACAATTTTGATAGATAATAGTATGATCTTAAACCTTGTCATACATATTTTTGTGATAAAACTTACCGTTTAGCTGAAAATCTCAAAAACCCGTATTTTTTAAGTTTGACCTTGAATTTTTTTTTTAGCACATGTCGGATCGATGGGGACTTTTCACAGTTAATTTATAATGGTGCTCCGAACATGCGTACCAATTTTCAGCTGTATGCGAATTAATGCAGGGTTCATGTCTAAATTGACTGGACTATTAGTAAAAAATAATAATTTTCCGACACGTTTTACGTGGTATTTTGAGTGTTCCAATTATAAATACACATTTTCCAGAGATTGAAATAAAATATTTAAAAGCAAAATTAAATAAAAATCTGTTCACTTTAGAGTAGGGTTTTCCTCTCGAACGAAAAATCGTTTCAAGCTTTCTGTAAATTGAGGCTAACTGCTAGCTGCCTAGGCAGATTAATAGGTTTGTCGGTAAGTGGTGGTATTGATAGGCTGCTGTAAGTAGGTACACAAAATTACAACAAGAGTCCAGTTAAACAACAGTCGGCCCTTGCCTTCGACTGAACAGTACAGTTAGCGGGCATCACTTTTTGCGCGTCCGCCTGATTGGTGGCGTGACCAATCGTGGTATTTGCGAATATTATAATCAGAACACATAACTGCGGCGTGTAATTATGACTATCGTGGTACTTGAGTAACAAAAAAGATGATTGTCAGTATAAAGAGAACAATTAAGTTTACTGTGTCGAGGACTTGGTATCTGATATCAACCGCTTCAACTGTCCAATGCTAGAAGTGTTTGAATAAGGTCTTAATTGTTTGAAAACAGAAATTATATCTAGGATAGAAACTACATATGTATACGTACCTACATTATTTGCCATTACATTTTCATTCACTACGTCTTAACATGCAATCAAAACAGTAGTCTCAAAACTTTATCTTTTTATTTATTCTATTCAGAAACATCGCCTGAACGATCATAAAAAGTGTTTAAGATTGGTCAATGTTGTGACCATTGACCGGATTTCAGACCTTAGATTTGATCTCTTGGCTATTGTCGATGATTGTTGTTGACGACTATAAAGAATAGATGTTGCATCGTCTTGAATAGCACGATAGACACAAACACAGCAGCCTCCCACCAGCGACGCGCGTCGCGGTCGGCGGCGCGCGCGGTATGGCGCTCGCGAGCTAACAATGATTTAATTACTCGTACGCAAATCACTCGCATCCTTGATTGTCGTGATTGAGATGCTATTCTTCGCGAGGAATGCCCGAGCAGTTTTGATCGATGATGTTTTTGAGTAGCTTGTTTTAATTAATGAATTGTCCCCGGGGTTTTAATGGAGATTTTAAGTTTAAGCGTGCTAATTTTTTTTAGTAAAAGGTGAGCACGCTCAAGCTAAAATCTATCTATCTGTATCTTTCAGAAAGCGGGTGACGATACTTATTACTTAAAAAAAATTATGATTTGTGTAATGTTTTAAATGTCAATTTTAACATAACTTCATTTTATAATTATTTTGTAAAGCTTAGTCGGATAATTTGCAATAGTAGTACTGTATAGTGTATCTTACTATGTAATCTTACTTAATTACGAGTATACTTTTTTGGTTTGGCAAAAAACATGTAGTAGGTACAACTGGCAGCTATGTACTGAGACTAATACTCGTACATATTTGTTACAAAATCGCACCTATAATAAACTACATAAGATGCTACTGTGTTTAAATTGTTATGCTGTCAGTCATACGTTCGTTTTATCGGTCTGTGCCACTGATTTGTATCTTAACTTTGAAGATTATGTTTAGACCTAATATCATTGTTAGGTTTGAACGGTTACGACACCTATTAGTTTGAAAGTTCAACATTTGAAATATACTCGTAAATGATTCCCGGAAAAACTGGCACACGGTATAAAGAACTGCTGTTGTTTACATACACATTTGAAACACTGGTCCCTGGGCTAAAATATCCTCATTATCACTTTTGTATTTTGGACACGTGTTTCTTACAAAATATGTACTTACTTTTGACGCAATGGGAGAACACCACGCCTTGACACATCCAGATGTTAGCAAAGTTAAAAAGAAAGGTCTTTCTCCAAAAAAGATAAAAGATGATAATTACATGTCTCTTTACAATTTTGTTTCTAATGATGTGCTAATAGATCATTGTGTTGGATACGCCTTGGGATTTGAGTCAAACCTTGGTCCTAATATTTGACCCAAACTGTTCATGGTTGGATGTGAAACACGTGGGTGATGTTGAGTATTGTTTGCTATGCGTTGTTGATCGTTGTTCTATTTGTCAAAGTAATAATTACCATTACCCAAGTATAATAATCGTTTTTT